AGATCCTCAATGAAATATGTTAAATATCAGTTTCTTTTTGTCTGAGAGGATCTTTGTATATTTGACAGTAATCTCATCGGGAGGGGCTTCACTGAAACACACTACTCAGAAGACGGGAAACGAGTGACAACATCCCCGAGTCAGGTGAGATTTCATTTGATTTTAACCGACCGAAGAATTCAGTAAAGACAGATAATCTCACTCTCTCTCTCTGTTGTGATCGGTAGTTGAGAAATAAGTTTTCTGAACTGACGCCTTTGACCTCATGAGTGTTTTTATTGGTGCAGGAGCTCTGTTACTATCACGGGCACATCGCGGGTGAGACGGACTCTTCGGTCAGTGTGGGGATTTGTTCGGGCATCAGGTGAGAAAACCTTCAAACGAATTGTTTTACAGAACGTTGGTGAAGTTGCTTCACGACGTTAAACAGCTCAGTGTTTCCTGTGTTTTTCAAACTGCGAGTGAATGAATATAAAACTATCTGTCACTATTTGAATTCATTTATTTTACTTCTCACCTCCTGTACTCACAGCGGCTTTGTTCGAGTCCGGCGGCAGGTTTACATGATCGAGCCTCTGGGACAGTCTGAGGACGGAGACCATGCAGTTTACAGACACGAACACCTGAAGGTCAGCTCCGGCTCCACGTCAAACACCACCACGATGTACGACCAGGACGAGGCCCAGGGGCCCCGCCTCGCTGGTCTCTTAAGGTCCAGACCCTGGGTAAGTCTTATCCAGTAATTTTAATTTAAACCTGCGTTAACTGGTGTTTTTTTTCCATTTGAGTTTAAGATTCACTCACTTTTATCTCAGTTTTTGGTCTCCACCCATTCCCACAGGAAATATCTGTTTCCCCTCTATCTCTTTATCTGTGTAATGCACCACGGTGGCTTTTAGAAATGCTCATGTGTGTGTGTGAATGTGCTGTATGTATATATTTAGTACTGTAAGTTACTATTACATTTATATGTGACCTTCTGAGTATTCAGATTCTGTCCTTTTTTACAGAGTATAAATAGAAAAACAAGTACAAGTATGGTGTAATAATGAACGAACTGTGTGGATGTTTGTCTGTTTCCTTCTAGAAAACGAACCCTGTCACTCAGAAGTATGTCGAGCTGTTTGTGGTCGTCGACAACACTGAGGTGTGAATCTCATTTGAATCGTTTTACAGCTTTTATTTATCGCCGAGTAAACTCACCAGGTTTCTCTCCCTCCAGTATAAACGATATGGAAGTGAGACGAAGTCCCGTATACTCGGGGTAATAAATCACGTCGACAAGGTAACGTTGGATCTTTAAGCTGATGTTTCGTTCGCTGTTTGTGAAGCAGCTCTTCATTCATTCCTGAGTCTGTCTCCTCCCTCCGCCTGCAGCTCTATCGACCTCTGAACATCCGTGTCATGCTGGTGGGCCTGGAGATTTGGACGGACAGAGACAACATTGATGTTGTCGAAAACTCGGAGACGACTCTGGACAATTTCCTTCTGTGGCGGCGGACCCACCTCCTGCAGAGGACCAAGCACGACAATGCCCAGTTTGTGACGTGAGGATCAGGGTTGGAAATGTGCGAGGCTCAGTCATGCTGCCAGTTTGACCTGACGTTAGATGTTTGTCTTCAACAGTGGCAAAGACTTCGACAAAGACACGGTCGGGCTCGCTAACAAGTTCGCCATGTGCAGCGAAAACTCAGGAGGAGTCAACCAGGTATGACCGAGGAACTTCTTATCCGCTGCAGAGGAGGGCGGTGTTTTTGTATTTTATGATGACAGCTCTGCGTTTCTCCGTCAGGATCACAATTACAACCCAATAGGCCTCGCCTCCACCATCGCTCATGAGATGGGACATAACTTTGGCTTGTCCCATGATGCCGCAGGCTGCGTGTGTGGTCCACATCAGAGCAGCGATAAATGTGTGATGGCCGACAAGCTCAGGTGAAAAACACAGATCTGATCCACTTTACTTTCAAAGATACCGAGAATGTTTGTGTGTTGAACTAAAGTATGAGGCCAAAAATATGCAGACAGGTTTACACCCTGTAGTTCAGATGAAGGGAAAACTTAACACCACAGCCACACGTCTGTGCACAAAGAGTCTTTACCTGAATCCTGAGTTTGGCCTTTTCACGCAGCGTCAGTGTTGAAGCTCACTGGTGCTTGTGTGGTCAAATCCCTGCTGGTTCATCACCTGGAGGGAAATCTGAAACCAGAGGAGTGGACGCTGTTAGAGCAGCAGATCGATGCCCGTGGATTTAGAACGATGTGATTTAAAGGTGCACTTACTGTCACAGCATTAACGGGCATCCAGTGAATCGTTCTCATCCTTGAATCTGTTCGCTCGTCCTCAGGACAGCAAGTCAAGCGTTCCCGGAGTTTTTCAGCAGCTGCAGCTTGCAGCAGCTCGATGAATTCATGAAGCGAGCTCAGCCCAGCTGCCTGGATAGACCCCGTCACATTAAGACCATCGACGAGGGCCCTCGCTGTGGCAACGCACTGCTGGACCCTGGAGAAGAGTGCGACTGTGGCACCGTGAAGGTAAAACCTTTGACACGGGGCTGACGCTGCTGGTTGTAGCAGAATGTTCTTTTCTTAATGATCTTGGAAAGTTTTAAAATATCCTTTGGGGAATGACGAAACCATGTGGGTTGATTTGTGTTGTAGCTGTGGCTTCCTGTGAGGTTAGTTAATGAAAGGGAGAGTTGATGTAACGCTGAGCTGCAGTTTGGCCTCAAATAGTTAAAATAGTTTTCCTGTGCGCTCACGTCTTATCACAGACTCGTTGGCAGAGACGCTGCTCGTGTGTGAGATTCAAATTTTAATGGTTTGGAATTTCAGCTCTTGCCCAAGATGCAACTGGAAACTTAAACATGACACGAGTGAAAGACACTGTTGTGTTTTCTTTGTAGGAATGCAAGAACCCTTGTTGTGATGCCTCGACTTGTCGCCTGACTGAAGGATCCCAGTGCGCTCACGGTCAATGCTGCGATAACTGTCAGGTACGTCAGCTGCCTGTAAATCCAGCTGGTACACTGGGGCTCTGATGTTTGTAGTGAAGCAGAAATGAAAGAACCTGATTCGAGTTAATCGTCTGAGTTGAGTTATTTCAGTCAGACCAAAGCGCTGGCAGCTGAAAGGTCAGTCGAACAGAAACACACCCTGCAACTGTGGTTGTTAAAATAACGACAGGAGAAGGTTTCAATTAAAATTCATCAGAAACAGCAGCAGCTCAATAATACCAGGAAGCAGAGGGTGATGCCCATGAACCGTAGCTGTGAGCACATCCTTCCTCTGGTGGTACACGTCGTGAATAACCACAGAAACACACAAGCTAATTATGTTTTCGCTGTTTAACCCTCATCACCACTTCATCTGTCGTTTTAACCCTCAGTTCCAAACGGCTGGAAGTGTGTGCAGGAAGTCGGCCGGCGACTGTGACCTGCCTGAACACTGCACCGGCCTGTCGGAGGAGTGTCCCGAGGACAGTTTTGAGATGAACGGCAAACCCTGCTACAACCAGGCACAGGGCTACTGCCACGACGGCCAGTGTCCCACACATGAGCAGCACTGCTGGAGGCTGTTTGGAGAAGGTACCGTCAACACGCTGCCGTCAGTGTGGTCACTCACTTCTCAATAGAAAGGAATGATAAGTACTGAGAGAGTGTTTCTGAATTCTGACTTAATAGCTCATTTAAAAAAATGAGACATGACCGGTAATGAAGTTGTGTGAGTGCAGATGTGCAGTTGTTTTCTTGTGTTCTGGCAGAAACCAGTGGATCTTTATATACAAACTTGTGTTGTGCTGCCAAAACTTGGAAAGTCTGGACTTCTCATGTGTTCTGTCCTCAGGGGCCAAGGTTGGATCAGATTCGTGCTTCAACCTGAACAAACGAGGCGAGAAAGGTGCAAACTGTGGGAAAAATAAATTCGGCTACATCCGCTGCAGTGAACAGTACGTTTCATGGCACTGAGCTGGCTGCACTGAGGTTTTTAAAGTGCTTGGTCGATTTACTGACTCGATCCTTCTCTTCTTTTTGTAGGAATTCGAAGTGTGGATCTATGTTTTGTCACGGAGGGGGCGAGTCCATCACTGGTAAGATGGCAGTGTACACTGTGCAAAACATCATCCAGTGTAAACTGGTCGAGGACGACAACACCAGAAACATTGACATGGTGCCTCGAGGAACCAGATGTGGAATAAATAAGGTGAGAGTCGAGTCACGTTACGTAAAGTTACGTAAAGTTTTGAATGAAGTTGGACGTGTGGCTGAGAATCTCTCGTGTGCACAGGTTTGCCTCGACAACAGATGTGTGGATATATCAGTTTATGGGAAAAAGGAAGATTGTTCAAAGAAGTGCAACAATAACGGGGTGAGTGAAGAAGAATTTACATGTGGCTGTTTTCACTTTTCAAAGTTCGACTGTGAGTGTTTGACTCTGAAACGACTTTCTTCAGGTGTGTAATCACAAGAACGAGTGCCAGTGTAATCCCGGCTGGTCTCCGCCTCACTGCGTCAACCTGTACGCAGATTTACCTCAAGGTACAGAACCGCTTGTCTGGATTTGATTTTATATCTTAAAATATAACTGAGTCTTCCCTCGAAGGGCGGAACCGATAGAAACAGGTCACACCCGATGGTTGAATCATTTTTCCAGTAGGTACTAAAAAAAAAAAAAAAAAAAGGAATGATTCATGATGAGTGATCTCTTAAAGCTCCCAGCGATGACCTCATCCTCTCTTAATGGTATCTTCGACTTCACCACATTTAAAAAAAACCTTTTCGTCTGGATTCCAGTTTAAGCTTAAACACAGTTTATCAAATTAATAATGCGATAGGTCACGAATAAGGTATTTCTGCACACAGAGCTGGAACTAACTAAGAACCTGAACCAGAATAACCTCCGATCGCTGTAACACGTGATGCATCACTGCAACAGGAACATGAAGTTTCCCTTAAAACTCGATAACAGAGTTTCTAAAGTAGTTTAGTCACACACAAGAAAAAAACCCTAACTTACTTCAAACAAAGGTGAAGAGGTCAAACTCTGAGCAGAACAACTTTGTGAAACTTCTGCACAAGCTGCTCAACAACTTTTCATCAGAAGAAGTGATGAAATGTCCGTTGTCAGCAGATTATGGTGAAATGTCCAGATTGGGACACTTTGACATTGGGTCTGTTGCCTTCGCTCTTTCTTCCCTGAGACATTGTGAAAATGTTTTTTGAAAATCTTTCTGCATTTTTATCAGCAAACACCAGATTCGTCCAGTTTCAAAAGAATGTTTTCTTGTTTTTCGTGCGACTCTTCCCGTCAGGTTCGGGACTAAAGTCGCCTCAGTGGTAAAAACGTAACAGCACAAAGTGGTGAACTCATGTTCCTGTGAGGATTAACAATAAAATCCGCTTGCTTTTAGATTATACACACAGTATAAACGTCTTGTTCCATATAAAATGAATTTACAAGCTGTGTACAGTGCGACATTGTGCACAGCACCAGAGTGAGTGCGTGTAATAACGGCTGAACGTCTCCCTGTCTGTGCCCGCAGGTCAGACGGAAATAGTAGTTGGCGTGAGTGTCGCTCTCTCCGTCCTCCTGCTGATCACCGCGGTGATAGCGGGACTGATGTGCTGTAAAAAAGACAACGTGGACAACTACAGCTGTAAAAGGTAGATTCTTAAAAAACTTCGATTGAACTTCTCGTGTTGTTTTTAAATCCGCCTCCCGGCTGAACGAATTTCGTGTTTGCAGGAAAGTGCACTCAGCTCCAGGCAAGTTGAACCCGATGTTCCAGGATGTAAACGTTAAAGAACGACCTCAGATCAGTCTGCCTACTCTCATGGACTCAACACGAGCCTATGCTCCTCTGGTCGTGGCTGTGACTCCCTGCAGACCGGCTCCGCAGGTACGACACGAACGTCCCCTCAGACATTCAGCAGCTAACGGTGTGGAAGTGTTTCAGAGAGGGGTTTACAACGTCCACGCAGGATTCTGTAATAATTCTCTCACGCCTTTTGTTTGCAGCCGCCACAGAATCCAGCGTCGCCTGTCCCACACACTGAGCCGGTGAGCTTCAATAAAACATGTCATGTGATCTGATGTACAACTGAGGATTCAAGAGTCACGTTAAATAATGCACAGAGAAAGTTCTGTGAAAGTTCTGTGAATTAATATGTGTTTAAAATCTATTCAAAAAAGAAAAGTAGAACACGAATTACCCTTTAATTCAACTCTAGCTGATTTCAAGACGATGTTTAGATGCAAACAAACATCTGTCGATGTTCTCGCTGAGTCTGAGAAAGACGGAGCACAAACTTAAAGAGGAAAGAAATAAACCTGAGGAGGCTCGTTTGGTAATTAGGTCAAAACTAAACTCGGTGACTTCTCCTTCCTCACTCTAGACAAAACCTCAACCTCCAGCGAAACCTTTGCCACCTCTGAACAAACCACAGGTGAGTCACACCTCCTGCTCTCACTCGTCCGTCCGTCAATTATCAGTGAGTCTGCTGGATTTGTTTTTGGACGGTGGCCATTTTCACACGTGTTTGAAATGTCTTCTTATTAAATTTCTTTTCAGTGTAAAGCAGCAAAACCAAATCCTCCTCCTGTGCCTCCGGTCAAGCCCAGTCCTCCCGCAGCAGCAGCCAGAGTCAAGCCGTGCACTCCTCCACCCCCCCCAGCCAAGCCTCAGGTCCGCAGACTCACATGAGAGAGAGAGAGAGGTGTGTGTGTGTGAGAGACCAACAAGTTGCTGCATTGTTGTGTTTGTAAAAACATCCTTGTGTAACATTAAATTATCTTTTACTGGAGGAAAGTTGCACAATTCTCTCCTCAGCGTTTCTGTCTCAGAGACAAAAGAGAGCGAGGGTCGAGAACAGGTTCGTCTCTGCTCTGCGGTTCGGACGCAGCCTCGTTAGTTGAACACAACCTCCCGGATGAGCCACTATTCAAATGAATGCAGTTTTAAATATTTATGTGATGTTTGCAAAAGGGACTGTGTGAGAATCATCGGCGGGAGAGTTAACGAGGTTCACGACTCATTTCCGCCGCCCAAAGATTTTATAACAATCAGATTAACACTGATCAGCTTCAGGAAAGTGTTTGTGTTTGTTTTTTTAATCGAGGTTGATCAGTGGATTCTGTGAAGTCGTTCAGTGACGGGAAAATAACAGAAACTACATCTGTTACGGTTTAGAGCGATCTCTATTTTTAAATCGTGCAGGAAAGGGTGTTGCTGTTCTCTCGTGAGCCGAGGGGCCGGGTCCACTGAAGAGCTTTGTGAGCGCCCGTCATTTCTGCACAGTCCCTAAATCGTCCGAAGCCAGTCTGAACTTAAAGGTTGATTTTTTTTTTAATCTCTCTACACTTTACTTGAAATCATGTCGGCGGTACTTTGAGCACGGAGGCTTCGTGTTGTTGTGATTCAGCCTGAAACATTTACATGTTTGTCTTCAGCCCGGAGCAGAAATCTCATGGTTGTTTTACTGCACTGGTTTTTTTTTTTCTAGGGCAACAGTCATGTGCTTTTTACTTTGAAGCAGAAATTAGTGTTTTTTTTTTTAAATCAGCTATCGATCTTTAAAAAAAGCAAAACGTCAGTTGATATGATCACAATTCTCCTTTTCTATCCATCACATGATGACGTGAATGTAAGAACGTATGAGAAGTTTTTTTTCTTGCAACAGACAAAGTGCACTTTATTACAAAAGTATGATGTTGCATCTGCAGATTGTAAAATTCTTATCAGCTGTTTTTTTTTTTTCATCATGATTAAAATGTAAATCTTCCTCAGTCTGTCGACGTGTTATTTTTCCGTTCACTCAGCTGCTCCCTGTTCTTCCCAGGAAAACGTTTTCATCGTTTCAGTTAATCCATAATTATTGTTCTCCAGCGAGACGCAGACGGACGCAGGCTGAGGAGCAGCAGTGAGTCAGATGTGGGTTTCCTGCTCACACTCAGAGCTTCGGTTTCCTCGGCCTCGTGGGAAACAACAAAGAACTTAGTGAGTGAATAAGAGGCTCGGTGATATTGACTCATTGCATATTAACATTAGCGTCCACAAGATCTATAGAGTGTTAGAACTATAGCTTCTAAAACAGCGACTTTAGTGACGACGGATGGAAATAACATTTTATGGATTATTATGAAATCTTGTATGAAACTTAAATCACCCTCAGAAATGATTATCATTATAATCCTCTTTTATTAATTGCTGTGTCCAATAACAAAGCTGACTGTGAGAGATGTTGTGTATCAATGAACCCACAGAGACTCTGAGCTTCTTTTAGCTCCTTGTCTTGGTTGTGCTGCTAAAGATCCAGAGTTCTCTCCCTCGGGGGACGAAACAACTGAAAGCTAAAATGAGAGTAAATGTGAGCCTTGGACTCTGAGGGCATTGTTTCATCGTGGCTTTGAACACAGAGGGCGTCGTCATGTTTAAACAGGAAAACAGGACAAACACAACGTCTTCTGAAATCACGTCTTCCTCTGTGAGGACGAACCTCTGCATCTTTTTAGCACAAACCTCCACAGACATTCGATGCCAGATGTATAAAATCAGTTTGCTGCAACACATCAGCTCTCAGACGTGGGGGGGGGTTGAAGGAATGTGTGTCTGAGCAGAGTCTGTTCCAGTGATTCACTCTGATTCAGACGGAACCGCTCATAAAACAAACGTTTACAATGAGCGTGGTTTGTTCTACAGCTCTGTCTCCGCTCATCGCTCATTCTGCAGGAGATGATATGTGACAGTAAAGTCTTTCTTCTGTAAAGGTACAGGGGCGTTTACTCAAATGCAGCAGGCGGTGCATTTCTGCTGAGAGAAAACCTCAGAACACAAACCAGAGTCAAACCAGGATCAAGGATCTTTGTCTTTCGATTGTTTAATCTTAACTTCTGAACTGTGTTCTAATGTCGCAACAGCAGAATATCACTGACGTCAGCTTTATTACTTTTGAATGTGTGGAAGTGCCAGAGGTTTAGACAGTAGTCCAAAACTCACGCATGACTTTCCATGCTCTTAACAATGCTGGTAAATCATTTCCTGATCCGTGTGGTCGAACGGACGAGCCCGAGTCCTCGGCTGAAGCAGAGAACACTCAGAGAGAAGGGTCGAGGAAGGAAGACGAGATCTAGATCATCTACAGAGCTCAGTGACTCAGTGTTATTCACTGGGTTTCAGGCCTGACACACAAACGTTGAGACAAATTAGTTTCCAGCATCTCGATTGTTTCCAGCAGGAAGACGTCGCAGCTGAAGTTTGTTTTTTCTCACAATGAAAAAGGCCTCATGTGACTCGTAACTTTAAATGTTCGACCACAGCTGTTGATTTAGTTTGAAAATAGAGGAACGCAAGTCAGGGTCATGTTTGTGGACTTTTCACTTCGCCCACAGAAAGCTGCTCGTCTCATGGTTTCAATTTGAGAAATGAGAAAGTGATCCCGACCCGGGGGTCGGCTCCTCCCGTGTGGGCTCAGGGTGAATCACAAAGATCACTGGAGGAAGAACACGGGTTTCTGAGGAAGCTGCTTTATCTCGGAGGCTCTGCTGGTTCCCCACAGGGAGCCGGCCTCATTTCTATAAGGTTCCAACTGTGGGAGAGACGGTTTGAGACACGACGTCACGAATCAGAGGACGTTACGACATCTCGTCCTTCAACAGCTCCGTGATTAGAAGATTAAAAAAAATAAGGACTTCAGATTTCTGCTTTATCAACAAGGACAACCAGGATCATCTGAGCGGGACATCGCAATGTCTACTGGGCCTTGAAGGAGACGAGGGGGGGGGGGCGGAGAAGTTATTCACAACCCATTATATCCGAAAGACAGGAAGACATAACATGAAGCTGCAGGGACAAAAGTGTCTTCATGAAGATGAAGCTTCAGCTGCTCGGAGCCTTTCTCACACATAACGTTCAAACTTTACGTTTGCTCATCTGATCAGCGTCGATGTCACAGAACAACACAGTTCGTCCACAACCACTTGTAGTTTGTTATATTTTTAGATGTGTACAATGATAAATACTTATATTTGGTTGTATTTTCTTTTTAATTATAGTTATTTATTACATTGCCATTAATTTAGCCAACATGACTAAACGAACCTTTTACTTTCTGTTGCCGTGTCACAACCTGAATATGAAATATAAAAATATATATAAATAACATTTCTGAAACACAAGCTCGTCATGCCAAAGTCTTTTTATTTTATTTCCAGGCAAACATTTGATCTTTATACACCGACATTTCTAAAAATTAAACATTCAGAGACAAGTTGAAACCATCGGATGGAAACAAAAATACTCTAATCAAAAGAAGACCAACAAATCAAGTTACTTAAATATAAAAAATATCTTCTCTCCATTGCACTTCAACTTCATAAATACAACTCAGAAGGCTACTTCCTCTCTGGCCCGAAGTCAACGACACCTGACGCTCAGCGGCTGAAGAGGCCGAACGTGCTACAGACATTTTATTTGAATGGAAACCAGGTCGTCTCACGCCTCCACGAAAACTGAAGCCTGCGTTCACGTCATAAACCGCTGAGCCCCGTGTTTGAACTCACAGGATCGAGGGGGCTGCACTCAACACGTTTACCACAGAGATCATCATCAAATGACTTTTCTTTCTGAATTAGAAAAAGAGGATGTCACGTACTCCTCTGCTCCAACCAGCAGATATCAAATTGAACTCTGTTTTCTTAATAATTAAAAATGAATTTGAGCCCACTGGGACATTTACTGTGTATTTAAATATTCTTTATGTTCGTATTAATCCACAACTCAAAGATATTCAATGAATTCTTATTATTTTTATTATTGTATCGTGTTTAAATCGTTACAGTGGAGAAACTACAAATCTTGACATTAATCAATAAATGGACTCATCGTTGTTTTGGCTTCATATGACACGAACGCAGCCTCGACCGTCCAGTGAAACAGAGCGTGTGTGTCAACGAGACCCGAACCTCCGGTTTAAAAAGACAGACGTACATTAAAGACAAAGTATGCACATGATGGCCCGCCACGTCTGTCACACACATCATGACAGAGACTTCTGCCTGTGATATAAAATACTTGATTCGAAAATGAACTTGAAGGAAAACAACACGTGCACGGAATCTAAACGCCAGAATGTTTATAGTAAATCATACGAAATCGATTTCGAGTGTGAGAATAACAGTTTCCGTCTCGTCAGCCTGGGACGCTTCGTCTCGGTACAGAGAGGATACATGGGAGTATCAAAGTGCTGTTTGCTTGATTGTAATTTCCTCCTCCAACGCCCCCCCCCCCCACCCGCTCGCCCACTTCCCGTCCTTTCCTGGTGTCACGAGGCTTCTCTTGTTTCTGTCAAATATTCTCCCACGTGATTCACATCGTCCTCGAACCCTCAAATCTGCTGCTACAGTTTTGCAATGAACAGTACAAATGAACATCGTTGGTTTTCATGAGTTGTGATAAACTTAGTGCAGCAGAAGGAAACAGAGGACGGGAGGGACACTTGTAGAAAAACAGGAATATTCATCGATCAAACGTTCCACCGCGTGAGACGATGGGACGGACACCACTGAGCAGGTGTGAACTCTGATTTTTTATTAAAAGAGAGAGAGAACCGTTTTGTTTTGGTTTTTTTAAAGAGAATATCCCGAGTCCATGTACAACTGTACAATGTCGTGGTGGCGTTCTGCTGCGTTCACAGCTCACAGTCCTTAGTGTTACTCGGAGCAGGGATGGAGGACGCACACAGGTCTTACGCGTTTTGCTTTTTTAATTTTGTTGTTAAAGTTTCGTATTTTGTCCAGCTCCAGTCTTGGTCCTTTAAAGAGGAAAACCACTTTGTTAAGACTTGAGACGATGAGACAGAATTAAAGAAAAGTGTTTTACTGAAAACTGAAAGTCAGCAGCTACACAACTAACATGATTCAAATGTTTATTTATTTTAATATATTTTCACCAAGCAGCTCAAACTTAGGAGACGTCACTGAATCACTTTTCAAAAAGTCTCAGACACTTTTTCTTGACCCTGTCATGTCATGATTTGGATTTAATGAACATAACTTGGTTAATTTAATCTAAACAAACAAACTGAATGTGCAGAAAATCTCTTTGTACGATGTTTTAAACTCAATTCAATGGATGAATATAAGATGAAACATCTCAACACTGGTTTGTCGCACTTTCAGATATTTTGGTCTATTTAATTAAAAAGTTAAGATCCACTCAAGTCTTTTTATGTGAACTTTTCTCCGATGTGTAATTGAAGAAAACAAAACATGATCTTAATAATAAATCAGTCGGGTCATCGTTTAATTCTTTTCCTAACTTTGTCGTTTAGCAGCTTTCTGACGTCATAACTATTTTACACATATTAAAATTTCAGATCTAACTGAACCTCTGAGTCTAAAGATCAAACCTTTGTTCTACTTCACTCACAACCCTTGACCGATATCTGACTTCAGACTAATGTGACAGATTAAGAGCAGTGAACTCACCACTATGCTCTTGGTCTGTTCATCAGCCGCCTCCTGCATCAGGCTGGTCAGCTGACTGAGGTACTTCTGGTTCTCCTGCAGCAGACGTGGAGCTGCATCACTGACAAGAAACAGAGACGTCTGTTAGAGACGAGCTGCTCACATGAGAGCAGCGAGTATTTAAGTTCACACCCGTTGTTCGTTACACATTTCAATACGAGGTTTAAGCTCTTTTTGTGATTTTCTGTCACTTCCATCCTGTTGTGAAGTCATCGCTCCAAAACCTGAGGTGATCATAAGTTACTCACAGACCACGAATCGACTGGTGTGGTCAGTTACCTGTCGTTGGGCCCAGGTAGGGAGGTCAGAGGATGTGGGGAGCTGACGGGTTGTGCCGACTGTGACCACTGAGAAACCTGCATCAGGTTGGACGACTCTGGGCTGGCTGCTATCGAGCTCCGAGACGAGTTCTGAGCCTGGAGGAGGGAGAGAGATCATGATGATACATGAAGCAACGAGTCACAGACTGATGAAGGAATCTAGTAGAAAGGAGTATTTTGTCACAATCAAATGAATGTTTGAGTTGTGGTCACAGTAACTAACTCCCTACGTGATTCCAAGTGACCGTTCCAAGTTCCTAAGAAATAACATTCATGAGAATAAGACTCACAAACCACAAACTGCCTCCCGTCATGGCGGCTCCCTGGAATGAATCCATAAAAATAGCACTTACACATGCGATCTTCAGCAAATGCCAGAACTCTCTCTGTCTCTTTATCTGCATCTGCATCACTGTGTTGTCAGCGTCCTTGATGCTCTCCAGGGTTTTCTCAATCCGTGGAAACAGGTCAATGATCTTTTGTTTGCTGATCAGGATTTTTCTGTTGGGAGGACCCGACACTTATTAAAGCCGTTTTCATATCAGACACATTAATATTGAACGCTGATAAAAACAGACAGTTGAAGGAATCCCAGTCACGTGTGAAATGCATCTTAATTAAACATGGACGTATTGAGTTGTACCTGAGGTGCGTGTACAGATCTTTGAGGACCTTGTCTTGGTTCTGAACGGTTTGAATAATGGCCTTCACCATCTCAGAGCTGTCGCTGCTCACATCTGTCTCAGATACTAAGAGATTAGCATCAGATAACACACTTAACTCAGGCTCCGGTTTTTAGAAATGCATTCATTTGGAACATTTTGATATTAAACGTGTGTTTTCTTACTTTTGCACTTCATCTTCAGTTGCTTATAGAGCTCGATGGCCTTTTCTTCTCTGCAATAAAACAAACGTGTCAGATTTACACATTTAAAAATAAAAAAATAAAAAAAAACCTGGATGCTAAAGCTCCAACATCGTAACTTAAAGAAAGCTCATGAACAACTGGAGCCAACAGCTGTTTATTCCCTGGAGTTTTAAACAGCAGCATGTTTTAAACACCACTGAAGTCACGCCAGCTGCAGCTTGTTCAGCAGCACAGAGGAGCGTCTGTCTCCTTCCAAACAACAAACCCTTTAAACCTCACGGAGGCAGGTGGTGAGTGGACGGCTGCTCAGAGCTCACGCCAAGACGCCTCAATCCAGAAGACGACCAAAGAACACTAACTTAGTGAGTAAACTTTTCAAGATGGCGCCTGAAAAAAACTCCTCCCAAATCCTCCTCAAACATAAATTTACATTTACATACAATTACATATTTACAGCATTAAGCCTCAGCAGACTGAAGTGTTTTTGATCTATCTGTATGTTTCCGTCCATTCAGCTCATTTTATAAGATCCACACACAGTTTGTTTGTTTCTGGTGTAAACACCAAGAGAAGCTAGTTCAGGATCTTTATCTGAAGCAACGACAACAATCGCTCTCTGACTAAACAACCTCTGAAGGAAACCGTGGACGATAAAAAACAAAAGGCTGTTTTGTGCTGGAGGTTTTCTCTCCTGTTCAGAATTCTTTGTAAAAAGGTTTTTGTTAAGATGAATGAAAAATGAGGTTATTATCATGATCCATCTCACAACATGTCCGAATGTTCAAACAGATCAAGTGATTCGTCCTTTGTCCGTCCAAATGGGACAAAGACAATATCTGATGCCATCTCCTGGCTTCAGACTCCATTAACACTCACAGCTGCTCCATCTTGTCTCCTTGGCGCCGAGCGTACGGGCTCCTCTGAAGTTCCACGATCTCCGAGTGCAGAGCCATGATCTCGTCATCCAAGTGGCTCACCTCTGCCACCTGCAGGACAGAAACAGGAATCACGACGAGGGTGCTCACAGTCAGGATTTGCACTGACAGGAAACGCCAGAGGACATTTGAATGGTTTACACGTGTGCATTTTGTTTTGTCCACATGCATCACCTGTGCGAAAGCAGCAGCTCGCTCCTCGTTCTCCTGCCAGGCCTTCAGCATCTTCTCAGAGGCTTTGGACGAACACAGACGAATCATCACAACGAGAAAAGTCATAAAAATATGAACTCAAATTAAAACAAAAGCTGCCAGTCAACACTCACATATGCCATAGTGCATCTGATCGCTGTACTTCTCCAGGTCGTACTGGATGCTGCTCTTGAAGAAATCTAACTTGGCTTTCAGCTGCTGAGAGAAGCCGAACATGCTGTTCTTACACCGGGTCAGGTTGGTGTTGTAGCGCAGGAGGCTCAGCCTGGAGGAAGGAGTAGGAGGAGGAGGAGGAGGAGGAGGAGGAGGAGGAGGAGGAGACAGATAAGAGTGAAGGTATTTGTAGGAGGACATGTTCTATCTCCAGTTAGCAGAGATTAAGAATGAAACAGAAGCTAGAATTGTCCACACAGACAACAGCCTCTTGTCCTCCAGGATTTTTCATTTACAAATTAAGTCATGAATTGAAAAGACTTAAGAGTAAAATAAAAAAATCCTCCTACAGCAATTCATGTAAAACAGGTCATTTTAAAAACATCGACCAACTTCTGGAAATAAGCTAAATAAAGATTGCTCAGTCAGTCATGTGACTCACATCGCTGCCCTCTGTCCTTGAAACAGTCGGCTGTAGTCGTCCTTTAGTCCACAGATGTAGCTCACTGCTTCACCCCAAACCTTCTTCAGCGCCACCAGGGGCAGCTGGGTCTTGGCCTCTTGAACTGAAAAAGTTCAGACGAGACACATGATGTTTCTCTGCGTCTTTCCTCTCGTGTGGTCTAAAAGTTTTTTTGTGTTTGTTAAAGTTCTGCAAAGTTAAAAATCCCAAAGTCTGAGGTAAAACAAAATCCATCAAGTTGAGGACACTGGCAACATAGATGAAGTTTTGAACGTCAGTTTAACTGAGACACGAGAAGGATGAGAAAGCAGAGATCTGTTGAATATATTCACTATCGATACATCACAGTACATTTATCTGTTTCCTTCAGCAGCAGCATGAATAACTTGAAATCCCCTCACCGATGGTGCTGACTTTGTCCGGCAGCTGTCTGGCACTGAAGGGCCCAGAGTACTTGGTGATGCTCTTGTCGAACAGGTAGACGATGTAGCTGTCCCAGCCTCTCTACACAGCAGAGCAGGACATCATCAGTTACTGCAAACACCTTTTCCTGCAGCTCATTACTGAGCCGCTCAAAGTCCCTCAGCGCACATACAGCCAGTGAGGTATGAATCATGAGAAGTGCACACGCAGCTTTTTCTGCATCACTTTCTCACCCCTGAGAAGAGTCGTTTAAAAAGCTCCGGTGGGAGAGAAGAAGTATTTTTGTCTCTATTAGAGCTCGAGATGTTTTGATCCTTATTTCTCTTCCCAATAACGATTTCGATTCCTGATCAGGGCTCCAGACAAACTTTTCAGTGGTGGCACCAGTGAGGTGCACCAGAACAAAGTTTTTCATTGTGACTTTTGGCCACTCAATAATACGCCTATTATACCATTTCTTGACAGTTGCCACATACGTTGGTATTTTCTTAAATAGGTTTGGGTTCAATCTGATTGGTTCGAATTCAGTTCAGGATATTTCATTGTACGATTCCAATTTTACCTAAATATGAAATAAATTCTCAGAGAACTAAAGCAGCAAACTGAACAAGGAAACCTTTAACTAAAACATTGTTAAAAATATTAAGGTAGACCTGTCTCAATAACAGATTTTGTTGGACGATAATTTGTCCCAGAGAAAGTTGTGATCATTGTGAAACAACCAGTACGATGATAATATTACAGCATAGTCATGAAAGTACAACCTGATGAAACTGAGGTCTTGCAAACAGTTCATGTTGCTGTTTTACTTGTGGGACTTTCCAGTGTGAAATGTATATTACCAAACTGCTGACATGTTAGCTAGTTCTGGTAAAAACCACACGAACAGAAATCAGTTCTTCCCAGTTGACTGCAACTGACAGTCGAGCACAACTGCTGTTTTAGATCGGTGTATAGATTTTTTATAGACGGGGCATCTCTAAAAAGAGCTGGAGACAGTTTGTGGGCTTTTGTCCAGCGTGAAAGGGGTTTTAAAGCGATCAATATCAAACCCACCACTCCATCTAAGACACACTGCGCGGCGGACTTCCTGGGGTCTAGTGATACGCCCGTCTCCTGCAGCAGCTCCTGGTTCACCACTTCGATCTTGGTCTCGGCCTCGATGCGTTTCTGCAGGCTGTGGAGACTCTCGTCTGGAGTCAGCTGGAAAGAGTGGACCTGGGCTGTGGTCATGTTCAGGATGTGGACGACCTGAGGGGGCAGAGGAGAAAGGGGAAGATGTGGAGTGCTGGTACAGATAACCTCACGTGCTCAAGTCCTAAAAACTTCAGATCCAGAAAAAAGTCTGTCAAAAACTCACCTTTGTACTCAGTATCTGCTCCAGTACTTCAAAGCACATGGGTTTCTTGGTGTCGGGATTCACTTTGCCTCCTCTGTAGACAGGATCCCACTTTAACATCAGCTGAAGCAGAGACTCCATCGGCTCCAGCTGTGTCCTGTTAGACAGCAAATACATTCAAGGAGAGGGATGAGCACCAAACAGCAGACACATCTGTCATTTGAGGGATTTGAACAGCCGTGTTGTTCCAACCTGCTCAGATTGTTGGGGTAAGGGAGGTGTGTGGAGAATCTGACTTCTCCGTTCAGGTCTTCCACCGCCATGATGTCTTTAGGACCTTTATTCCGTACTTTGCTCGCCCTGTGAATGGAAAGAGACAGGAGGAATGAAATTAATCATCATATGATGGATCAACAGAGAAATAATCAGCATCAAGCAAAAGCAGTGAAAGAAATTCCCAAATCATCTGATTCTAACCAAATAAATTGTGTAAGGTTTAACTATTGCAGTTCATGTTTGCGATGAACCCATGAAGGTACAGACAGCTTTCACTGGTTTACTGAAGAAAACGTGATGTTTCTCAGGTTAGTTCTGAATTTACAAGGATTATGTTTTTCCAACGATTTACAAGTAGGTTTATGGACTTTAGAAATAATGAGTGGAAGTTACACTGAATCTAAAAGTGTGAGTTCATGTTCAACTTGAATTATGACTCTGAGGAGAGTTCGATCTGGAACATCAATCGTAGCAATCGGGTACTTTTAAGTTTTAAATTACTGAAACTGCCTCGATGAGCTGCAGCTACAGCCTCCGACCGTGTTGATTAACAGACCAAACTGCAACGACTAACCTCCGCCTGCTGCTACAATAACTCACTTCTGTCAAAACGTTTTGCTTATCACATCAACTTACCACTGCACAGGTTGAAGGTTGTGCAAGAAAGGACGGAAACCACAACTGCACTCGAATATCATTGTACCAAAGCTCCAGTAGTCCACAGTGACGGTGTACGGCTTATTCTCAAACAGCTCGGGTGCCTGCAGGGAAGAAGTGCTGCATTTCATCACAGCCATTTTCAAACATGAACTCTGGAGAATGTCTGCACACTAGAGTCCGGACTTTCACAAATGAAGGCTGCAGCACGACATTCTCCGGGTCAGACGCATTCACAAACAGCAACAACAAAATCTCCAAGGCGGCAGGAGAAACTCCGGATCACATGCAGCCCCTCCGCATAATTTCAGGAGATTATCCAGAGTTTGGTGCATGTTCGGAAGCAGCTCACGACACATTTGGTAGACAAATATGTTTTACACTTTGACCAAGTTGGGCACAACCACGTTGTTAAAATTATTAGTGAAGACAGAAGATTAAAAGATTTCAACACGTGATTAGAATAAGACCTTGATTACATGAAGCTATGTGCTCCTGTGGTTTAAGAAATAATTACTTACCAGGTACTGCAGCGTGCCGACAAAGGAGGTGCACAGACTCCCCTGGTCCAGGTCTTTAGCGTAGCCCAGGTCAATGATTTTGTGAACCAGCTGAAGAAGAAGAAAAAGTCATTGTGAAATAATTTCATTGAAGATGTAGCGTGAAACAGAGGAGGCAGAAAATCTAAAGGTAGCAGGTTACCTTTCCGTTGATATCCTGAAGCACAATGTTCTCAGGTTTAAGATCTCTGTGGATGATCTTGTTTTCATGCAGATACTGGATACCAGCTCCTGTGGCAGGAGTCAGAGGTTGAAAATGAGCGATCTCTGAAAGACACGACTGAATGAACGAGGTGAACCAAAGAAAAGATGCGGTCATACCAACATCGTTGAGTAAGGACAGAACTTCACTCTCTTTCAAACCGCAGCAGTTTTCAGGTTTGCTCAGAACCTGTGACGAAGATAAATGTGTTTGAGTCAAACAGCAGTAAACCTACGAGTGGTGACTCAACCTGAAATGGACTGATGAGCTTATCACACACTTTGACATGAGGCACATTTATTTACATTGTGATGTGAGTGATAAAGACAAATGTAAACTCAACACGGCAGAAAACCCTCGAGTGGACTCATGTGAACATCATTCAGAAAGTCAACGAGTCTCTCACCCTCCTCAGGTCTCCTCTGGAGCAGTACTCCATGGCCAGCAGGGGAAGATCATTTAAGGCTATGTACTTCATCTCGTCTGGGACTTCTCGGGCTGTCACAACATTTATGTGATTTAATCTGAGAGAGAGAGACAGAGTCAGAACTTCATTACGTTTCATTACGCATTTTCCTTGGTAGAGAACGTCTGTGCAGGTGCCTCATCATCATCATCATCATCATCATTATTATATCAGACAGGAAGTAGATGAGAAAAAGTACGAACTTCTTCATGATCTGGATTTCTCTGCTCCATCTGTCCTTATTTCTTGGAGTGAGCTCTAGACGACACATTTTTACAGCAAGCTTTTCGTTTGTTTCCTACAAAACAGGCAAAAGAAATTCCATTATGATATAAATACATTAGTTAATGTCAGTTAGTTTTGCAGAATTCTTAGAGTCAGTTACTTGATTTATTAAGTGTAAAAATGACAATTCAAACAACTGCAGCAAACAAAATCTACAACTTTTAAATAAATTAACTGTGAAGTGGGATTCTTGCACCGCTTGAAACTTTTTTTATGGAGCTAAGAGTCTTAATATTCCTGCTTGATTACATTTCACCCACTCTTGCAGGACATCAACAGCCACACGAAGATGTTCAGTGAAAAGCTCAAACAGATTGTGGGGGTCGTTCCTAAAGCTTCAGTCTATTTCACCCTGTGTCCGATCGTCCTGCTGATGAACCCAGCATCCTTTCACTGCCTTGACTGACTGAACCAGATTTGCCTGCTGCATCTGTTGATGTTTGGTGTAATGAATTCTCCCTTCTGTCTGTAGAGTGTAAAAGCGTTGACTAAAGCTGCTTTCAGACATGAACTCAAGTATATTTTCCTGGAAAGATCAGGAGGGGCCGCACGTGAGAACGAATATGTCTCAAAGCTTTCCTGCGAGCCCCCTCGTAAAATGTCAGGCTGAGTCCATGTGAGAATATTCACAGCGGGCAAGTGGGCGTATTGACGACGTTTCTTACACGTGAGCGACGCAAAACTGAAAGAATACAAACATCTCAGGATGGAAAAGAGGAGCCATGTGTGTAGAAGACGTGTCGGTAACAAGGACGGACACCCACGTGTCCCCACATTGTCCTGGGTTAGGGTTTAGTTTTGTCTCCAGCTCTGAGTGTGTTGACATTTGAAGAACTTTAATGTGCTGCAGCGGCTTCACTTCGGTGTAAAACTGTATTTCTGCTCATGAAATGTCCGAACTGAAGCCTGTTGCATGCAGGTGTCCGTCACATGTATCATTCTGGTAACTTTCCAAGGTGTTCTCCATCTTTTAAACGCGGTAGAGGTGAAGTGGTTGCACTCACGTGATGCTGGTAGAGGTAAACATGGGCGAAGCCTCCCATTCCCAGCCTCTCCTTCAGCTCCCAGTCTCCACAGCTCTGGTTCTGCCTGAAGGGAGGTTTCTCCATGGCTGCAACTACACCTGCAACCATTGCAACACTTAGACTTAAAGCACAAACGCTGAATATCAACAGCTTCTACGTGTGAGACTGAAAAGCTCAGACAGACGTGACGGTTCGTTTGGATTCTTTAAGACAACACGTTAACAGATGAGAGGTGGGTGTGAAATTAAAACAGAGACATGACGACGAATGATTAAAAAACATCGAACAAGAATCCAACATATTATTTCAGAGGATTTAACTCGAGTGGCTTTAAAATGTTTATTCCACATCAGAGAAGCTATCAGGCGCAGGGACGAGACTATATCCTGGAACGAGATCCAGGCTAATGTCAGTTTACTTTCGATGCTAACACAGTGACGCTGTCAATCTGAGGTTATATGAAATTATAGGCATTCTATATATATTGTAACACACAGCACATGTTAACATTCACTGGGTATACAAAAAACACACAAAGCTAACTATTCCTAGCATTAGCTCCACTGGCTAGCTGCCGAGGAGCTACTGTTTAGCTAACAAACCGGGAAATAGCCGGGCCCCGTGAATGGCTTTTCTAGCTTGAGGAAACGTCTGAGCGAAGATCACCCGATGTTTGTGACACAACACGTTCACACGCGTTCACACAACAAACTACACGTGAACACAACAAACTACACGTGAACACAACAAACTACACGTGAATCAAACGGATCCAGACTCACTGTGACTTTCTGCGACGCTGTCATGAGCCTCAGTCTGACGCTGCCTCTGTGCGCGTGCGTGTTTGCGTGTGTCTTGTTTTCAGCGCTGCGCCGTGTGTGTGTGTGTGTGTGTGTGTGTGTGTGTGTGTGTGTGTGTGTGTGTGTGTGCTTTCCTGACGTCACCAGAAACCCCGGCTGTGCCTGCTGCGTTCAACAACTTCACCGAGTGTTGAAGTTTAACACAACACAATTATAACTCAACACAATGATAACATAACACAACCATATCACTTGTACTCTTTGCACTGTTTTATGTTTTATGTTTTTATGTTTTTATGTTTTATGTTTTTATGTTTTATGTTTTATGTTTTATGTTTTTATGTTTTGTGTTTTGATGTTTTGATGTTTTATGTTTTGATGTTTTGATGTTTCTTGATGACTGAAACATTCAATCAGTCTCCTCTGTTTTAACTTTGCCTCAACTCTGTCTGAACAACTCGACTACCATCCTACAACAATTTCCCCTCGGGATGAATAAAGTATATCTATCTATCTATTTCTCTAACAATAACATATTAATCTAACCTATAACTAATCTAATCTTTAACTAACCTAAACCATAACTAACTGGACCTTTAACTTATCTAACCTTTACTTATCCAACCTTTAACTAATCTAGCCTTTAACTTATCTAACCTTTAACTTATCTAACTTTTAACTAATCTAACCTAACCTTTAACTAATCTAACCTTTAACTAATCCATCCTTTAACTTGTCTAACCTTTAACTAATCTAACCTTTAACTTGTCTAACCTTTAACTAATCTAACCTTTAACTAATCTAACCTTTAACTAAACTA